TCGTATCCTCGTAAGTGTTTACGTTGGCCAACACGTAAAAATTCTCACTTTGTATTTCATTACAATTGCAGTGACCTCATTAAAAACGGAAAGAGGACTTTTGTTTTAAATTGATTTTAAAACTCAGTTATTGTTGAATTAAAATTCGGTCATCCTGTCTCTTTAATAAAATGATGAAGGACTTACAGATCGTACCTAAAATGGCAGACCCACTCACCAGCTTTGAAGTTGAGATATGACCGTAACCAACCAAATCATTTTATACTTGATCGACAGCTGGTCAAAAGGAATCCGCCGTCGTCTTCTGGTGGAACCGACCTTCGAATCTATTCACCCTACACTTCTACTCGAAATGGAAGCAAGCTCAACAATTATGAAACAAGAGATTCCTCGAAACCCAACTTTTCTTCGCATACATCTCGTATTACTGATTTACTGGTATTCTCGAAACTCTACTTAAATACGAAAAAAAGATGATTCTACCTCCAGCGTCCAGGAAGAGCACACTTTCCCAGCGTCTGACCAGATGTGGATCTCAACTATATCCGCGTCTACATTTGCTCTGTATCGGCAAAGCTGACTTCGCCCGGATCGACTTTGCATAGACGAGACATCTTGGCGCATCGACAGCGCATCTCTTCGACAGGTTAGCGACTTTTGAGCCTTCGAGAACTCCAAATTACTCTTCACCGTAGAGTTCGTTTCATTGGGTCTGTCCTAACCCACACTTATGCGGGGATCGTTGACGAGGTACTCATCTATCAACCATTAAACTCGACACTGTTATTATTTTCGGTGAAAGTTTTTAGTCACGAATTACTGCTACCTCTACACCCTACCCACACGGAACATGAAATGTGTATTGCTTGACCCTTGACTTTCGTTTCGTAGAGGTCACTAAAAAGAATGACCATTTTCAATTTACGTAGATGCAATTGTTGAGCTCATTTCTATTTCGAGTAAAAGTATTTGGTGAAGAGATTCGAAAGTCGATCCCACCGAAAGACGACGGCATATTCGTCGTGACCAGCTTTACTGAGGCATTCTTTTTGACGCTGTTTCTAAGGCAATCTCATTCGATTTCGGCGGAAACGTGCTAATCTTTCGTCCGTCGTTTGACGGACATCAGGCCTACAAATCATTTAGACCTTTGTCTCATTTTTCAGGTGGACTGATCGATAAACAATCCTAGAGTTGTCTAGGTGAAATCTTTAGACTTTAAAATTGTGGGCGATGTCTTCTTGAAACCTAGATGGCAATAAACATATAATGAAATGAAATTCGGGCAGTCACCTACTCTCACTATATTTGCATATCTGATTTTTCGCTGCTCCCATCCACATTTTCTATAGAACGATCTGAACTTGGCTCAACTTAGACCTTGTCCACCTTGTTTGGATGTCAATTTTATACTTCCTCACATCACGAGGACTACGCCTTAATCATAGTCTGTCAATTTAAGTATCACCATGTAAACAGTAAGCTCGAAATATTTCGGTGTTATTGGACCAAACATTTGTAGGCTTGCAGCTCCACCTGATTCAAGGGGCCAGATAATAGTCAACATCATTATCCAGGTTCTTATTCATTAGCTAAAGTGAGGCTTTGTTCGCCTTTTATTTTTGAGCCTATCCAGAGCAAATAGTCTAGTTTATACATTCTTTATTGAGCTCACTTCCATTTCGAGGGAAAATATTTGATGAAGAGATTGGAAGGTGGATCCAACCAGAAGCAAACGGCGGATTCCCATTGACCAGCTGTTAATTGGCTTTAGTGGAACATTCTTGTTGACGCTATTTCCGAGGCAATCTCCTACGAGTCAGGTGGAACTCGCTAAGCTTAAAATTGTTGTTTAAATGGAAAGCATCAGGGCAGTGTATCATTCTGACAAAAAAGTCAAGAGAAACTGGGTTTCCATGAATCTCCTG